GTGCGCCGGCTGTTCCGCGCCGTCACGCGGGCCATCGCCCAGGGCTCGCTGCGGCGCGAGGACGTCTTCTGGATGCTGGCCAGCCCCAGGGGCGACGTGCGGGACGTGCTCAGCGAGTTCGGCAACGTGCTCGCCGGAGCGGCGGTGTTCAGGTGAGACGGTCGGCCTCCCCCGCTCCCCGAGCGCCCGGCTGGCGCGGGGTAGGCAGCGCCGCACGACACGCGTGCCTGGCTGGGTGGCCTACCTTCACGTTCGCAGGCGCTACCGGGTCTGCTCTAATGTCCTGTCTCTCCCGTGCCCAGTCCTCAGAGGCGCGGTGTCGCCGAGTTCCAACACTTCCTACGACAGGAGACGTCCGCAAGCAGCATCGACGGCCGAGGCACCGGGGCGGGCGGCGGTGTAACTGGGTCGGACCACGAGCTGCGCTGGCTGCGTCGCTACCAGGAACAGGTGGGTCACCACCAATGGAACCATCGGCACCATGGAACGCGATGTGCTGTCGTGCTCCCGACTAATGTAGCTTCGTTGCTGTTTAGTGCGGCGGCGGGGTGGTGTGCTCTGCGGACGAGCCGGGCGCGGTGGCCGACGACTGGGCGCTGGTGCAGTCCATGCAGGCCCTGGGCGCCGTCCTCGTCCAGCTCGGGCAGGCCACCTGTACCTCGGAGCGGCCCTGGGCGCAGGGCGGCGACGTGTGCCTGTCGGAGGCTGGGCCGCGGCCCGTGGACGCCGTGCTGACGGACGCTCTCCGCTGGACGGCGTCCGCCAGAGCCGACGGCCCCGTCGGAGCCGAGTTCCGCTTCTCCCCGGATGGCGGCGGCCTGCTCGCCGTCGACGTCGACAACTTCAGGCGGCGTCCTGGAGCTGCTCGGAGCCGCTCACTTGGTGACGTGCACTTTCAGAGGGTATGAATTCTCGACTCATGCTTAGGGCGAGTGTAAAAGATCCTTCCTAAAATAACTGCCATGACTGGATCAGGTGGGCACGTTCCTAAACGGCAAGCTGACGTCGCTCGACGGCAGCGACGGCGACGGCGGCCTGCTGGCGTACAAGGACGCCGGGGACGAGATCCGAGTCGCAACCCTTACCTCGCAATGCGGCGGGAACCTGGGCAGCTGTCACCACTGCCGCCAACAGCGGTGCGTATTCACTGACATGTAGGCGTGGCCAGTCGTTCCTCTTGCAGCCCATGACCGTTCGGTTGGTTGTGCAGGGGCCGGCCGAACAGCGCGCTTGGTGACTGGATCGTGGTGGAGCCCCCAGCCCTACCCCCGGGGCAGCAGAAGAGTGAGCCAACCGTGTACGTTCTGGCCACCCTGGACGTGCACGAGCCCTCGGCCAACCCGCTCCAGTGCGGCCAGGAGATCAACCCCCGCGGAGTTGAGCAGCTCGAGGCCTTCCTGTGGGCCGTCGACCAGGTGAACAGCAACTTCTCCGGGCTGAGGGTGGGCGCCGTGGCGGTAGACACGTGCGGCAGCGCGGCGCGGACGGCGCGTCTGGTGTCCGAGCTGCTGACGGGCCCCGGCGTCCTGGCGAGGCTCGCCGACCCGGAGGCGGCGAGTGGAGAGGCGGCGGGGGCGGCGGGCACCGTGGTCGCGGTGCTGGCGGGGGGCGGTACTGCGGTGGCCTTA